AATGGCAAGTTCAAGGGCAGCCTGGGATACATAATGAGACCTTGTCTCAAAACAAAATTCTACTGATTAAATACTACTTACATTTACTGAAAAACTGAGACGCAGTGAATAAATCCTTTTGAGGTGACCCACCCAGCGAGGAAAGGTGCTGACCAAGAACTAGGTATAATGGGCAGAAATCTCACGCAAGATCCCAAAGAACTTCAATCCAAAGACGTTTCTTAGGATGCATTTTGGAAAAGACCGTTCAAAATGGTTATTTTCTGTTTTCCTCTAACATAAAGTACTAACAAACCTAAAATGGTCAATCTTTTAAATACAGCCACCCAGTGCCTAGTGTAAAAATAATTTAAATACTTCGTTTAAAATGGGGAAAGCCGGGCGTTGTGGCGCAAGCCTGTGATCGTAGCACTCTGGGAGGCGGAGGCAGGAGGATCACAACTTCGAGCCCAGCCAGCCTGGGCAACTTAGTGACCCGGCAAGACCCAGTCGCAAAATAAAATATAAAAGAACTGGGGGAAGGGTCTGCGGATTTAGCTCAGGGCAAAGGTTCTGGGTTCAATCCCTAGTACCGCAGTCAATCAATCAATGTAGCGTTACGGGCAAAAGGCTGAGCTCAACGCTTTCACGGGTGAGGGTGAGTCGCCCCGCGCACGAACCCCACACTGAGCCGGGGTCCCCCGCATCCCTCCCGCCGCACCCGCGCTCCCCGCTGCCGGCCCAGGCCCGACCCGCGTCTGGAGGGAACCGAGGACCGAGAGGCGACGGCGACCGCGCACTCCGGAGCTGACGCGCGGCCCCGGCTCCCCCCAGAGCCACTTCCGGCCAGCTCCAACCAGGCCCTGCGCCCCCGACTCCCCCGCACTCACCATTTCCGGCTGCTGGGGTGCCCTGGCGTCCTCCCTACGGCTCCCACGGTCACTGCAGGTCACACAGGGACAAGGGCTGCGGCAAACAGACCTGAGACGGCGTCGCACCGGCGAGACCGAGTGACAGCGCTGCGGGAGGAAGTGGCCAAGTCCACCGGGCGTTGCGACTGCCCACCCCTTTCCAGGGGCGCGGCTGATTGGATAACTATTAGGCCCCGCCCCCTTCACAGCGCCAGCGCGCATGAGTGTCACGTGATCCAGCCCACCCACATCGCAAGCAGTCAGGATCAGACCAGGATTTTTTTTCCGGCGCCCCCGCAGTGCTGAGACTGGAACCCAGGGATTTAAGTTAAGCAAACATTCTACCCATGAACTGCACCCTAGTCCCCGCACATTCCCGTTTAAGAACTTGTGTCCAGCTCAGAAGAAAATTTGGCACCGGTCTTGGTGAAAGAAATGGTTGAGGGCTGGGGATATAGCTCAGTGGCATAAGCGCCTGCCTGTCAAGCGCAAGGTCGTGAGTTCGATCCCAGGTGCCGCAAAAAAAAAAAAAAAAAAATGGTTGAGGGCTGGGGATATAGCTCAGTGGCATAAGCGCCTGCCTGTCAAGCGCAAGGTCGTGAGTTCGATCCCAGGTGCCGCAAAAAAAAAAAAAAAAAAAATGGTTGAGGGCCGGGGATATAGCTCAGCAGCACAAGCGCCTGCCTGTCAAGCAGAAGGTCCAGAGTTCGATTCCCGGTACCAAAAAAAAAAAAAAAAAAAAAAAAAAGAAAAAAATGGTTGGGCCGGGCGTGGTGGCGCATGCCTATAATCCCAGCACTCGGGAGGCTGAGGCAGGAGGACCGTTGCGAGTTCGAGACCAGCCTGGGCTACAAAGTGAGCTCAAGGCCGGCCTGAACTTCATAGCGAGACCCTGTCTCAAAAAGACTTAAAAAAAAAGAAAGAAAGAAAGAAATGGTTGGTAGCCAGGCGTGGCCTGCAATGCCAGCACTCTGTGGGAGGCTGGGGCAGGAGGATCGCAAGTGCATGCCCAGCTTGAGGAATTTAGCGACTTAGCGAGACCCCATCTCAAAATTTTAAAAAGGCGGGGGCAATGGGGGATGTAGATCAGTGCGAAGGGCTTGGGTTCAATCCCGAATGTCAATAAATAAGTAGCTGGGGATGTAGCTCAGTATGACGGCCCTGCACTCAATCTCCAGATTCAATAATAATAATAATAATTTAAAAGGTCTAAAGATGTGGCTCAGAGCGAAGCCCCTGGGTTCCATCGCCAGTACTGAAATAATAATCATCAGATGAACCTTTTGCACCAGAAAAAACACTGAAATGAAAATGGCTAAGGCGATTGAATTCGTAGCCTCCCTGATGGATAACACTCTTAACACACTGCGCCACAACTCCAGTGGCCACGCTCACGACTTGGCCTTTTGTCACTTTCTTTTCAGTCGTGAGCTCGGCAGGGCCACAAAGGTGAGTCCAGGCATCGGGAACCTCCGTCCCCACAGCCTGGCGATGCCACCAGCACTCGTGATCCTCGGGACAGGCGCTGCTGCGGGAGGAAGGCTCCAGGGCTCAGGCCATAGGTTTCCCAGCACTACCTGGGCACTGTCAGGCTGGGGAACCACCCTAGCGCAGACAGCGCTCGTAGCGTGCGGTCCCCGCCCCCAGGGCCCTGCGCCTGCGCACTCAGTGTAGCCTCCGTTCTGCTTGCCGCCTAACCGGAAGTCCATCTGAAACTTATTTTTGGCAGTGCCTGAACATAGGGCCTTGAGCATGCCATGTGAGTGCTCTGCCAGACCTAACCCTTGAAACAGTCTTGAAGATTTATTTAAGGTCGGAGATGACTGATCAACGATGGCATCTTCACTCGCGCAAGCCCAGACTAAAGAGAAAAGATATTCTGCACGCCCTCCTCGTCCCTCTTACCTCACTCATCATTTCTTTGAAAGTTCTCAATTCCCGTTTTCTTTAGAGACAGGGTCTCACTATGTAGTTTAGGCTGGCCTTGAACTCACTATGGAGCCCAGCCTGGCCTCAAATTCGGCCACCTTCCTCCTTTCCGAGTAGCTCCGACAATAGAGGCATATGTCACTGTAATAAAGCATAAAGTGCATGGAACTGTGTGCTAGTAACACCCTACAATGGAATAAGAAGAGAAGAAAAGCAAACATTTAGCTGGACTTCGTGGCTCAGGCCTGTAATTGCAACTACTCAGAAGGCTGAGGCAGGAGGATTGCAAGTTTGCATGCAGCCTAGGCAATCTAGTGAGACCCTATCTCAAAATGTAAAAGAAAAAGAAAAGCACACATTTGAACTAGCTCAGATAAGCAGCTTGCTTTGCACACAATTCACAGGGAAACCAGCATTCAGAAAGTTACCATAAGCTGGACAGGGTAGTTCATGCCTGTAACCCTAGCATTTTAGGAGGCTGAGACAGAAGGATCACAAGTTTGAGTCCAGCTTAGGCAATTTAGTGATCTGTGAGACCCTATCTCAGTATTTAAAAAAAGACTAAGGTTTGCAGATTGGTGCAAAGACCCTGAGTTCAAATCCAGAGACCAAAGAAAAAGGTAACACATTCCAAACTTGGGAGCCTCACTAATTGCTGAACTGGAGGCCTGGGGTGGATCAATCCACAGCAATGAGACAGGGACACCTCAGGACATAACTGGGGCTCAGGTGCCCGAGCCTTGCTGTCCCCTCACAGGGAATTATAACAAGTCCATGTAAGGTGGGGCACATACAGCCATTCCTCGTTTAACACCCGAGCTACGGTCCTGCACCTAGGTCGTTAAATGAACTGGTCACTGAATGAGGAACTGTATACTGTATACGAACATTACAATACTGAGAACAAAAAAATGGTCAAAAGAAACTCCAACTTGATGACTTTGCTTTTATTTGCGTAATTTTTACATGCAGTCCTATACTGTAAAACAAAACTACAGTACTGTCCTGCACTGTACAGTACAATCAGCAAAAGCTACAGTACCGTACTGTAGAAGCCACCATAAGGCCGCACCACTGCTCACAATGCTGCGTCCCAAGTAGACTGGCTCATCTCCAGTCCGCACAGCATGTCTTGGCTGTAAGTACAAATAGTCATTAAACGAGGAGTATCTGTAACTGCACAAAAATATTTTTTCTTTCAGTGCTGAGGATTGAGCCCAGGGCCTCATGCATGCTAGGCAAGTGCTCTGAGCTACATCCCTATATTCTATAACCTTTTTGTTGTTTTTCGAGACAAGGTCTTGCTCTGTAGTTCAGACTGGCTTTGAACTCACTACGGAGCCCAGGCTGGCCTTGAACTCTTGGCAATCCTCCTGCCTCAGCCCCGAGCGCTGGAATGACAGGTGTATGCCACTGCAGCTGGCTGTTTTGGTTTTTTTTTAATTTAATTTAAAAATACTTTAACTCTTATTAAACTTTTCATTAGAAAAACTCTTGACACACAAGGCCGGGCCTATATGGGGTCAGGGTCACTGACATCGCTACTGTCCTCCCTGCTGCGTCCCATGGCAAGGTCCTCGGGGGCGATGACACTCATGGTGCCATCGCTGGCGATGACGATAATGCCACCTTGGGCAATGGCTCCCGAGGGGCCTGCCGGGGGCTCGCCCGTAGGTGCCGCTCCATTCAGAACCATGTCCTCGCTTTTTTGCTTCCTTCTGGCATCATAGATTTGCTCATAAACAGACAGCGCGGCCCGGACGCCCCTCTCCACTGTGGAGAACCTCTCCGGGTTGGGGTCCATGCTCTGAAACTTCTTAAGGAGCTGGTTGAGGTCAGAGAAAGCCTCTGCTAAGCCTGTCACTGTGAACCTTCTTGGGGCTGCTTCTCCGTCCTCTCCTGTGCTTTCCACTCCTCTGGTCTCTTCTTTGGCCTTGTACCCCCGTCCCAGCAACTCCTCACGGGCCAGGTCTTTGGGCGCCACCTCCAGGCGCTCCCCGCTGCTGTCCTCGTCCGCACCCCGGGGGAAGGTGCTGGTCACCTCCGCCACAGCCTTGTTCACCGGCAGCTCGTCCTCCTCCGCTGCCAGCCCTCTGAAGTCATGCACGAACCTCCGCAGGGTCTTTCTCCAGATGCTGGGCACACGCCCCCTGGGGACATCCGCACCCGCCCTGACATCCTGTAATGAGTAGCGGTTCTTGAATCTCTTCAACCACCCAGAGCTGGCACTGAACTCCACGTTGTATCCAGGCCCCGCCTTTTCCTTCAGCATGGCGAACAGACTCTTGGCTTTGGCCGTGATCATCACGGTGCTGAGGGGGACGCGCTGCCGCGTCTGGTCTTCGATCCAGGTCATCAGCAGCTTCTCCATGTCCGATATGGGGCCCTCGCGGATCTTCGTCAGCCTTGTGGCCTTCAGGGACGCGGAGCCTCTCAGGGCTTCCCTCACCTTGTTCCTGTTCTTCAGGATGGTAGCAATGGTAGAATGGGACATGCCTGACTGGCGGGCGATGACCATCACTGGCTTTCCACCCTCGTAATCCTGAATCAGTTTTAATTTCGTTTCCAGGTCAATGACCCGACGGGGACGCTTACTGGTCACTTTAGCAGTGGCTTTCGTGCAGGGAGGGGCCATGGTGAACCAGAGAACCCTGGCTGCCCTGGCCACCGTCTTGCACAGGGTCGGTTGTCTCCTAGGACGTCATTATGTAGCACAGGACGATAGAAAGTAATCTGCATCCATCTGGAGGTTCTGCGTTAACACTAGAGGAGAAAATAAATAAGTAAGGTAATTCCAGTGTTGGCAGATTACACGAATATACTAACGGCGCCGGGCATGGTGGCACACGCCTGTCATCCCAGCACTCAGAGGGCTGAGGCAGGAGGATCACCGCAAGTGTGAGGCCAGCCTGAGCTACACAGCGAGACTCTGTCTAAAAAAAAATGCAAATATCCCAGCACTCGGGAGGCTGAGGCAGGAGGATCGTTGTGAGTTCGAGACCAGCCTGAGCTACAAAGTGTGCTCAAGGCCAGCCTGAACTGCATAGCGAGACCCTGTCTCAAAAAAAAAAAAAAAAAAAATGCAACTAAAAGAGAGGCAGGAAGACTTCTTTAAGTGGAGTGTCTGGTGGTCATCATCAAACCCAAATCTAAAAAGAGCATCCACTGCTTTATGAAAACATTATAAACAAAACACGACATCTGTTTCAAATGCGCAGTGAAAACGAACAGTTGAGAAGGTTGTGATTGGCGGTGGAGCGCAGGGCCTGAGCGTGGGGAGAGGAAGTGCAAGTCTACGCATTTTCGGCCAACCCCAAGAAGGGTGGGGTATAGCGGGCAGAGATGTGGATTTGATGTTTGTTTGGGTTTTTTTTGTTTGTTTGTTTTTTGTTTGTTTCTTTTTGAGACAGGGCTATGCACTTTAGGCTGGCCTTAAACTCACAGCGATCTTCCTGCTTCAGCCTCCCGACTGCTGTGATTACAAGTGTGCGCCACCAAGGCCAGCTTAGAGAAGTGGTTGTGAGCCACTGCTTTCTAGGCATCCAGAAGACGCAGAGAAAACGGGTGACCCCTGGGGACCCCAGCTGCTCCTGCGCAGGAACCCCACCCCCGCGCCCGGTCTCCCGTGACTCCCGCCGTCCCTACGGAGGGCCCTGGGTCGCGGCTCGGCTGCCGGACCAGCACCGCCGGAGGAGGAGGGGACCGAGGACCGAGCAGCGCCCCGGATCGCGGAGCAGACGCGGGGAGCGTGGGTGCCGTCAGAGCCACTTCCGGCCGGCTCCAGCCAGGCCCTGCGCCCCCACTCACCAAGCCCCGGCTCCGGGAGTCCGGCGTCCGGGGTCCTCCCCTACCGCCTGGGGAGGTCAAGGGCCACAATGGCGGGCCAGCCCCGCCCACTGCGAAGAGGCAGAGAAGCGGAACCTGCAGAGGGCAAGAAACTAAGATCCCGCGAGAATGCTGGCGAGCCGCCTGATTGGATGGTTTTCAGGCCCCGCCCTGAGCCCCTGATTGGATACGTTGAGGCTCCGCCTTCTGGATCTTGAACGACCCGAGCAGCCATTAACGCGAGGTTGAGCAGACCTGCCGGGATAGCTTGTCGGTTGTGGGCTTTCTGGAGCTGGGCTTCCCCCGCCCGACCCTGCACCGTGCGCCTCACGTAGGCGGGTATTTGCATTCAGGAGCACTTACTCTTGGCTTTCCAGAGCAGAAACCGGCATCTTCCTGTAACTGCGGGTCCTTCCTGCTTTTATCTGATGGACGCGGGGTCACAGGGTGCTCAGGGAACTCCATATTCAGGGTCCAGTGAAGCAGTCGCGGGGCCTCAGAGCAGAAAAGGAGCCGGAGCCAGGCCAGACAGAGGCAGGCCAGACAGAGGCAGGAAGAAGGGCTTGGCACGAGGGGAGCCTTGAACTCCTGAGGATCCTCCTGCCTCAGCCTCCCAAGTGCCAGGATTATAGGTGTGCGCCACTACTCCAGGCAGAATATTCTATAGAGAACTCGAAAAGGGAGAAAAGCAAACTTCTCAACTGCTTGACGTAAGCAACCGCTTCACCCATAGTTCACTAGGAAACTCCACAGTCACTGGGCGCACGCAGTCTTATCTCGGGGGCCAGACTGACTGCTGAAGTGGAGCCCACAGAGGCTCCGTCCCTGGTGCTGAGGCAGAGACGCCCAAGGATTTAACTCCAGGAGCTCACACCGTCCCGCCATCCCTTCCTCACAGTGAGAAAACGCTCCTCCTCCAATAGCTTGATAGTCATCAGAGGGGCACTCTCACCTGGAGTCGCATGAAGATTCAGATCCAAAGAAACTCCAGCAGGGGGCTGGGGATTTAGCTCAGCGGCACAGCGCCTGCCTGGCAAGCGCAAGGTCGTGAGTTCGGTTCCCGGTACCGGAAAAAAAAAAAAAGAAAAAGAAAAAAACTCCAACAATTCAAGCCAGGCATGGGGGCTCACACCTGTCATCCCGGCACTGTGGGAGGCTGAGCTAGGAGGATCCCAAATTCAAGCACAGTCTGGGCAACTTAGCAAGACCCTATCTCAAAAAATATAAAAGAACTGGGATGTATTTCAGTGTAAAGGCCCTAGGTTCCATCCCAGTGTGGGGGAGGGGGTGCAGAAAACAGCCCCAAGACAACCAGAGTGAGAGCCTCAGAAACACCAGAACCCCTTCCCAAGACCTGATTTCCGGGGCTGCGCTGCAGCTCCTCGCTGTTCCCGCTTCTTCCGGAGCCAGGCAGCTGGAGGCCCCAGAAGCTGAAGCGCAAGGGCCCAGCCTTGCGCTCCCTTTGCAGCCTCATCTAGAAATCGTAGGCCTCAGGCTCTGCCCCACCGCAAGCTGTTCATCTGCCCAACGCCAGGTGATAGCGTAAGTGAGATGGAGATCTTCTGTCTCGTTGTCGGAATCAGAACCGGCAAATTCCCTGCTTTCCTCTTGTGTCTGTGTATATGTAAAGAAAAATTCTGAAAGTTTATTAAATTAAAAAAATTTGAGCCGGGCGTGGTGGCGCACGCCTGTAACCCCAGCACTTGGGAGGCTGAGGCAGGAGGATCCTTGTGAGTTCGAGGCCAGCCTGGGCTACAAAGTGAGCTCAAGGCCAGCCTGAACTGCATGGGGAGACCCTGTCTCAAAAAGACAAAAAAAAAAAAACACTAGCAAATAATTATTCCTTTAGGTAAAAACAAAGATAACTAGGTATCACTCACCGGGCGTGGTGGTGCGTGCCTGTAACCCCATGGGCATGTCTACATTTACTGTGATGGTGAGCCTTTTAGAGCTTTCAGTGAGAAGATACGGCTAGCTGCAGCACACGTGCCATGGTTCGCCACCCCTAGAAGCGTTGCAGAATGCACTTCCAACCCCCTCCAGTACTGGGGATTAAACTTCTCTACCCCTGAGTTTCATCCTCAACCCTTTTTTGTTGTTACAGTTGTTTGTTTTGTTCGGGTTGGGTTGGGTTGGGTTTGGTGTAGTTTTGAGGCAATCTTGCTGCATTGCGATCCTGCCTGGCGATCCTGCCTCAGCCTCTGGAGTAGCTGGGATTGCGAGTGCACGCCCCTGCACCTGCTCAACTTTCCCTTTTAAGCAATCTAAGTGGCCCTCAGTTGAAGCCTGCGAAGGCTCTCTGGAATTCCTCTATTTAAATTATGCGGGGCTGGGGATTTAGCTCAGCGGCAAAAGCGCCTGCCTGGCAAGCGCAAGGTCGTGAGTTCGGTTCCTGGTACCAGAGAAAAACCAAAAAAACAAAACAAAACAAAAAAATAAATAAATAAATTATGCATTTAAAACTGTCTTCCACAATGTACTGTGACGTTTGGGTAAGGACCACATCCCCTTTGTTTTCTGTTTGTTTTATTTTCCATTTTCCTAACCTGTCACGCCACCTTCTCTCTGAGGACATGCAGAAAATGTTCTAAATTGACTGTCACCTGCTGTAAAAACTGGAGGTCTACGCCCAGAGGGCGCGTGGCTGTTAATGTCATCCTTACCACAAGGGGGCGCGAGCTGCCCTCCCTTTGTGAAGACAGCTCAAAGGCTCTTTTTGGAGTTTTTGGGGGTTTTTGCCGGGGGCGGCGGGGGGGGTTGTTTTGTTTTTGTTTTTTGAGTCAGGTCTCGCTGTGTAGCCCAGAATGGCCTTGAACTCACAACAATCTTCCTGCCTCAGCCTTCTGATGTTGGATGATAGGCATGTGCCACCGTTTTATGTTTTTGTTGGTATTTTTTTTTCTTTCTTTTTTTTCTTCTGTACTGGAAATTGAACCCAGGGCCTTGCAGCTGCTAGGCTAGCGCTTTAGCACAGAGCTACAGCCATTAAAAATGTTTTACTGTGAGCCAGGATCTCTTTAAATTCCCCAGGCTGGACTTGAACTTGAGATTGTTCTGCCTCAGCCTCCTGAGAGCTGGGGTGACAGACAAGCCCCACAGTGCCCGATTTTGTTGCAGGGTTTTTTCATTTTTGTTTTTGTTTTGTTCATGTTTCTCATACAATGAGTCAGGGAGGACCAGGACTTTCACAGTCTCAGGGGCCAAACTAAAGAACTTGGGGTTGCTCTTGACAGTACTGGGGAGCCATGGGAGGTATGGGAGCATGGGAGAGACGGGGGAAGGTCCTTTAGGGACTGGGGCAAATGACTAGGAATTGAGCTGGAGGCAGGAGAACACTGAGACAGGCCCCGGATATGAGAGGACAATCCGCTCAGGAGGAGTACCAGGCAGGAGCCTTGAATGGCGACTCCAGGTCTCAGTTTGGACGAGCAGTGACAGGGTGTGGGGCGGGGCATCCACTTGTTCACTTGTAACTGTGCTTTGTATATGCCATTCCCTTTGCCTAGAATGTCATTTGTTTTTGTACCTTCTTAAAACATTCTCCCTGGTCTCAGGAGGCTGAGGCAGGAGGATCCCCGTGAGTCTGAGGCCAGCCTGGGCTACATAGTGAGATCTCGTTTTGGTAATACTCATAATAAAATACTCCTACTGGTCCTTACAGACCCTGAACGAGGCACCCTGTGCTGAGGATCCCTCCTGAGCAGATGAGCTTGCAGTTTCACACACACACACCCGTGTATCGTGCTTGCCCGCCTCTGGGGGCTTCTCTGGGGTGGTGTCTGGCTGGGTCCCCTGTGGAATCCTCCGCACCCCAGCTTGCACGAGAGAGGCTGCGCGGAGCACTGGTTTGTCCCAGGAGTGAGCCAGCGTGCAGGGGGTGACCGCGGTTCGGGGCGTGGCCGCGCAGATGCGGTGCGCAGGGCAAAGCTAAAAGCGCTCAGGCCACTGGGCCCTGCGGAGCAGCCCAGAGCTCTGGGGGTGGGAGCCGGGCCCGCCTGTCATCCCAGCGCGCAGGAGGCTGAAGCAGGAGGATTGCTGTGAGTTCAAGGCCACCTGGGGTCACATAACAAGACCCTGTATCCAAAAAAAAGTAACCCCCTACAATAAAAGAACAGGCAAGTGACATGAGCAGACACTTCTCTGAAGGAGGACAAATGGGCCATAAATGCACGAAGAAATGCTCAGCATCACTGGCCATTGGAAAATGCAAGCTGACTCCACACTGAGGTTCCACCTTACCCCAGAGAGAAGGGCCATCCCCGAGACATGAAACGGTAACGAACGCGGGCGAGGCTGTGGGGAAAGAGGAAGCCTTCCGCACTGTCGGTGGGAAAGTAAACGAGCACAGCCGCGATGGAAATCAGCGTGGAGATTCCGCAGAAAACCAAAACTAGAAATTCCAGCTGACCCAGCTAGTCCCCTTCTAAGTATCTTCCCAAGTGAGCTAAAGAAATCATACCGCAGTGATGTATGCATATCCACGTTTATAGCTGCACAACTCGTATTAATAATACCTTGGAGTGGGGCTGGGGATTTAGCTCAGCGGCACAGCGCCTGCCCGGCAAGCGCAAGGTCGTGAGTTCGGTTCCCGGTA